TCATTAGATAATAGTATATGATTAAAGTGATTGGATCTCTCTTAATTTAAAATAACTTTCTAAAGTGTTTTCAGATAATTAACTTAAAAAATGGGTTGAAACAATGCTAGAAAATTTCAAGGAAGAATATAATAAGAGGCATATTTATTCAAAACAAAAGGCATATTAAAGATTAAATATTAGATCGAAATTTCTACATTGAAAGAAATAACCACAAAAAGGATGAAATCAGACATTATTATAAATTGTTAGAACTTTCTGAATTTTAATTCTTTCTTTCCCAACTAGTTAATGAGTCATTTTTTTTTTGAATGAGTCATTTAAAGATATTTTATAATGTCAGTAACAGTAACTAAGCAGTTAGTTCTTTCCGGAAAGCTAAATATCATCGAATTGGTGGCTTATCTTTAATTTCTTGCACATTTATTTATTGTCTATACATCCCTCTATTTCATTTCAATTTTAATTATAATTTAATGAGAATTTTGTTTTGTCGAAGGATGTTTTAATAAGAAAAAAACTCCGAATTACTATTATTTTGATTAATTAATAATTTATCACTTTAATTTCTTAAAAAATTTATCACTTTAATCATTTTAATTTCTTTTTTTTTTCTTATCACTTTAATTTTGTCATTTCTGTCACAGCATGCAAGGAATATCACAGAAAATAGGTCTTTTTGAACATATGGGAATCGCGAAAAAATAGTTCTAGCACAAAAATGTCTCGAATGATAAGTTTATTTGGAACTGCTGTGATTTTGAATTACTGTTATATCAGAAGTATTTTTTGATCTTAAGATACAATTAATTTTAAGCCAAGATAAACAATATATAATCAATTTGCGCGCTTAACCGAACTTTCGACTGAATTTTCTAAGATTTTTGTAAAATTTTCTAAAAATTTTCTAAAATTTTCTAAGAGAATTTTCTAAGATTTTACAAATAAAAGTTCATAAATGAAGTTTGATATGATATTAAAAGGTGAGAGAAAACTTACAAATCTTTGCAAATCACTTAGGATCAAAGGGACAATTTTGTACTTTCCGATCTATTTAAACTGAATAATAGTAACAAATAATATCTAATGAGTTGAAAGGAAAGCTAATCATTTATCAGTTAATGTTATCATTGTTTTTTGTTTCTTTCAAGTGATTAATTCAGATCATTTTGACAATTTCATTGATATTCTTAGTGTTCCAGTAATTAAGCTCACATTATCCTTCTCATTAGCTGGTCTTCCTTATCATCGGAACGTTAATTCATTCTTTGTTCTACAGGCGATATGGATAATCATAGGAGATTATATGACATTTCTTATAGATAACACATATCCAACATATTTAGGCAACCACTGTTAGAGAATAAATTCCTTGGAATGGTTTATTCGAGCTACTTGACAAATCATTATAAACTATTAATTTCACAATGCTATTTCAAGAAGAAAACACACTGTTTAAAGCTGAAATTTAAAAAATTAGAATCAATACGAAGATCTAATTATAAATTGATTCCAATTAAGTCCTCAAAAATGTCACTTTAATGCAATGTAAGCAATATAAATGAAAAGTATTTACTAATAAAACAAGCATCTAATGTTGCAAAAATTAAATTTCTCTCTGAACTTAATTTTAAGTTTTCAAATGAAAATTAATAATTTTGATAATGGTATTCGATATATTTCTATGACGAAAGCTTACTTATAGCCAATAATTAAGGCAACCAATAAAAAAAAAGGAAAAGAAGCTTTAATATAATTCACAGATGTCGTGAACACTCTTTCCATTTTGGTTTATCATGGAATTTCTGCTTACAACACTTTTCTTATTCCAATTATTTATAAAACTTTAAATTTTCGATGCAGCATTTTTTTTCTAGTTTCTTTATTAGCTTACATTCATCGATATACACAAATTATATCCCCAAATATTTGATTCAAAATCAATTTTCAAATCCTAACTAATTATAGCCTTATCTGTTTTTTATTTATATTGTTCCTGTTGCATTTAACCTGAAATGATTATTCCGCTTTACCTTATCTCACACTTCTTCGTTGATTATGTTACTAATAATAGTTTTAACAATAAAATTTATGGTTAAAACTATTAAGATAGGAAACTTATTTTTACTTAAAATATTTAACCATTTCATTGATCGCAATGAGAAATTCTCAGAAAAAATTTTTTTGAAATTGATTCTTGCTGCTGTTTCGTGTAAAAAAAAAAACGATTAGATCAATTTATGAAAGTAGCCATGTTCAATTAATATAAATTGAAATCAAATACCACATATTGAGCTCACTAAAGTAATTCATCATTTTGGAATAATAAATCGATCTGACTGAAATGTACCACTAAGCTTATTGGTTCCAATTTTTCATACAGCAAAACTTTTTATCTAGTCCAGTTGGAATTAGCCCTTCTATCATTTATTTTTAGGCCTGTTAGTTAGTTGTCGATAGCTCTGAGTAATTAAAAGAACGAGATGTTGCTTTTTTTGCAGGGATTCCGAAGAAGTGTCCAATTCTTATTTCGATCTCTTTCATATTCTCTTCTGAATGTTACTTAGATTTACTTATCAGTTATATTATTATCTTCTGAATGTTAGTACTCAAGTCGATCGCCATCTCCAATTATTTACTTATCAGTTAACAACTGGCCAGAACATTCTATAAGGTGCTGAAGATCAAAGTGCAATATTGTTATTGTTAGGTGCAAGTTTAATCCTTAATTCATAATAATTATCATTCTAAATCGTTTTGACTACTCTACTTTCTTCTACTCAGCACCTCTTTTCTTAATGTCAAGAATGAATAATTTCTTATTACTGTACACTTCACGAAACTATCAAAACATTTTTTCTTACTCCTCTTTAAATAAAATAATCCCAAATAATTTAAAAAATAAAAAAATTTAAAAAAACACAAACTTAAATATCCATAAACCTTAAACATGTCTTGAATAATAATCTTTGATGAATGGACCCGAAATAACCATAAACGTATTACTGTCAACTTTAAATAATTTAAATCGTAAACAGCTTTAATATATACTTAAATAAATAATCCTAAAAATCTTAACTTTGGATATGCAATCTTAAATCTACTACCAATGAATTGACAACGATACCTGAGCACTAAGCAAGTAAACATAGATGCATGTGGAAGGACAAACGACCAATTAAAGACCATTTGTCATCAATGATTTTAAATTACTATTTTACCTAATGATTATAGAAGTAACAGTAACAGATTAAAGAAAAAAATACTATTAAATTCTTACGTATATATTATTAAAAATAAAAATATATTGTCAAGAATTTAAAAGAAAATAAAAATTCTTAGCAAAAAAAAACTACTAAGAATGTGGACACATATTACTAGGAATAAAAAGACTGCTGCAAAAGTTGGAAAGTTCACTATAAAATTTCAGTATGATTTAACTTGAGTCTGAAAAGAAGAAAAAAATAATCGGCAATAATATTTAAATAGGTAGGTGGAGAACTAGAATCAATGAATAAGTTATGAGAATTGCATGACAAAGAGAGTGACAATTCTACTTATTCGGTATTAATATTTATTATTCGATCTCAATTATTGCTAAATAAAAGAATTGGCAGATGGCATGCATGTAATATTAGATGAAGCAAAGTGCAGTAAAGTAAAAAATCTCATCTTTACCACTCTCTCGCCTTTCCTTTAATCCAAATTAATCACTGAAACATTTATTTGTCAAGAAAAAACCAAAACGAACAATACACGAACAGTTTAATAAAGAATACATGAAATTCATGTGAAGGAAAACAAAAGGCCAAACACCAACAGATTATTTCACAACCGAAAATTTCCTCGTTATCATGGCCAACATTCAGAAACTTATGATTTCTAAATTCAAAGAAAGTTTCTTTTCCTTTCAAAAAAGAAATTCTCTCAAATAGAATATCAAATATTACCAATGTAGAACTTCCTACAATTCATAGTGAAACTACTTCAATTGCTTCGTTTGAAATGCAGAGAGAAACAACTAAATGCAATTTAAATGAACTAAATCCCGTAATATATTATTGTAATCTACAATGTCCAATTTATTTCGAACGACTGTTCGCTTCAAATATAATGAAACATTAGAACAAATCCTTGTATGATACAACAGTAGGTAACGATGTCTTAAAGCCAACATATTTGATAGGAAAAGAGTTCTATGTAACCTAAGTTCTAAACAATGGGTAAAATGTTAATATGCAAAACATGCATATCCCATAACGTATAATCCGGATCGTACTATTTTGCAGATGATTTATCCTGCACCTTTTAGTGTGAGTAAAATCATACAACACAGAGAAAAACACAAATGTGATCAGGAAATGATTGAACCAATGATATTTTCACCATCCACCATTATGTATTTGCACCTTTGCTTTTTTGTTCCATTAATTAAGGGAAAAAGAGGAACCAATCTGATTGATTTCGGTAGTAAAGTTCCAGCCATATTATATATTGCAAGAATAGAAAAAAAATCTGCTCGTAAATGTATAATGAAGTAATGCAAATACTATCTCTTTTGAAAAGGGAAAATTTAATACAATTATGGCTCGTCAATGATAATGCCCTGACTATACAAACACAAGGCAAACGATTTATATTAAATATATTTCTGCAAAGTATCCCAATCCTATCATGCAAATGACGGAAAAGTTGAAGTAGAGATATGAGGTTTTCTTTTTTTTTTTGGCTGAACTCAATGTTCCCCATCCCGGAATTGGTAAAGAACATTTCTTTTCCACAAGTAACAATATTTCTAGACCCACGCGTTCGAAGGATTATCTTTGAATAAAACTTTATAGAATTTAAAGAACAGTTAAACAACGGTAGTCTGTAACAACTGTTTCTTATCCTTATGGTTATGAAGATTTTTTAAAGGCTAGGAAATATCGATCAAAGATTCAACAAATAAAATTGGAATATAAGGATAACTGAACAAATAAACGACTCCGAGGAAAAAATCAGTAAAATCGATTTGATTGATCGCTGAACGAAAGTGTAAACTGATTCTGTGATAACAGCTGAGTAGGTGGGCGTCTGAAATCAAATAATTGAAAATGCATATGAGGACCAGCAAAATTTAAGCCCAGTTCATTAACAACTAAAGTAAATGCGTGCAAAATAGAAATAAAAATTAACTTGCTTCTAGTTTCTCTCTTTTTTCCACAAAGAAAAAAATATTTTATTGGTGCCATAGTGACACAAGTATGGAAAATCACAACTGACCAACACCAGAATTAACTCCGTTGTCCTTTATGTTCTTCGTTAGCCTCATTAATTTTAAACGCATTGCAGATTCTTCTCATCTTTTAGAATTTTTCACTTTTTTTTTCTTTTGGCAATGTTCTGAAAAGAAAAGATTAACTTACCCGTAGGGTACAGGATTATTTCTTGTAGGATCGCTGAATGCTGGATTCATACCAATCAGATTCTGTCCTAGATTCTGTCCAATATAGGGAGGCGGTGGTGCTGCAGGAGGTGGAATTCTAGAATCGAAATACGGAAGACGTTGTAGTTGAGTATTCGGTGCATGTTGCATTCCAGCTACTGGAAACCTTTGCTGCGAAATAGGAGGTAATGATGGTGTATAGGCACCTGGTAGAGGTGGTGGTATCCTAAACGGTGGTATACCTGGAAATGTGATTTTACTCGCATTACATTACTCATATGACTATACGCATTACATTACTCGCAGTAATTATTTTTGGGAAAAAACGAAGTTGATAAAGACAAAGTTGATAAAATAAATTATAGATTACTAGGGTACCAATCACATTCGCGTTCATGTTTGATGCATCCTTTATAATCTGTGTAGTAAACCCTAAATCCCACACAAGTTTTCGAAAGAGACTCATGCAGCATCATTCTAATTACTCTATTTAATGGATATTGTTAAAGCAACCACAAAAACAGAAATCAGTTTACCTAATGGAAGTGGCTGTTGGTACAGTGGAGGTCTTGGTGTCCTCATCATAACTGGTAATCTAGGTCGCGGATTCGGTGCATGATATGATGGATGGGGCAGTGGCACACCTGCTGGGACGCAACTACCTGCACTGCGGACCATCTGATCAAAAGCTAAATCTCGATCCTCCTCGACCCTATAAACACCCCCAAATATTCTTTCTCGTGCTTGCAGATATGCTGCTTCCCTTTCCTGAAAACATATTAAAACGTCATTAATAATCTTGTTGGTTTAACTTTAAAGAGATAGAAGCAAGCCAGGTTTTTCATCCATGAGATTAGTACCTTTATTTCTACTTCTTTCCCATCACAGTAACCCAAGCCTTTTTTATGAAGATCATGTCCGGAATAATAAAGCAAGGTAAGAACAATGATTTTTTTTTAGAGATTTAGTCAGGAGTCTTTTTTAAGTCGCATTACTTCTTTATTCACTAAATCAAAATTTAAATAAAGAACCAAATTATGCATCGTATAAGGGTCCCATAATCATAACCCCGATTTCCTTTGTTCAGGTTCATGCCAATATTGTTTTGAAAGAGATAACCCTTTGCAGCAGTATTTTAATTAAACGTAAGTTATGTGGATTCTCATTTTCAAGCAGCAAGTATAAAACTGATATACCCACTGAGTGGACTTACAAAAAAGTTTTCACTGTTCTGTCTCATAGATATACACACTAGAACTTTTAAAGCGAGCAGGGATTCCAAACTAAATTCCTTCTTACTAAACGATGTTCGACAATAATGTCATAGCATCCGTGACTTATTTCGACTATATCAGTCTTTAACAAATGTGAACAAAAATTTCCCCATGTCGGTCAGCATGCTTCTAGCTTCCCCGAATTAGAAAAAAAATTCGAAGAAACATAAAATCTTTACTTGAAGAGTCATCGTCTTTGTTTTTTCCTCAAGTTTTGACATATCGTGCTGCGAAGATGACGACTGCGTCTCACATCCTTGTGGACGTTTCAGAATTTGAAAAGCTGGTTTATCGAAACTATAACTAGATGAACGTCAGGAAGTATGAGATAATCTACTATGACTTGATTAGTCATCAAAGTAAAATACAAACAACAAATGGCGGAAATTGTAGACAGCGAATACGAGGTAACCTACTAATTTGTATTGAAATTTTTTGGTTTTAAATCTTAAAAAGCTAACTTCGAGCCCTGTTCCTGCATTTGCTGTGCTGCTTCTCTTGCTCTCCACATCTCTTCTTCTTTTTGCTTTTTGGCCTCAATTTCTTTCTTACGTTCATCGAAAAATTTTTCTGTGGCCTTAAAAAAAAACTCTTAGCTGAATTAAAATAAATCTAGAATGACTAGATTTTAAAAACTGATTAATCTGCAATAACTGATAAAATTTTCATCCTACGCATGCTCTCAGTATACTAAAAGTGATACTGCTAAAGTGTATTAGAGCTATTAAAACTAGGTTTAGCGAAAGCCTCCAGGGTGATCACCCTCCCAGCAAACAATCCCCAGTCAAAATACTTGTACTGTTGACATTCCAGTTGCCCTGGCTTTCAATATCTCATGCTCTCTTTTCCTTATCGCTCTTAGAAATTGTTTATTTACACCTTCATGTTTATTGAACCATCTTCCCTTCTCCTGTAAATCATTTAAATTTGAATTAAGCGTGTTGTAAGATATAAACGGTTATCTTATTTGAATCTAGTTAGTAAAATTAAAAGTGGATGGATTACCTCTGTCTCTCGAATTTTCTCAGTGGAACTAAAGGAGATTTCAGAAATGAGTAATTTTTATGATTACATTACGACTACATGTAAAGAATATCTAACCATTACCGCTATTTCTGCCACAAGTTGTACTTGAAAAATAAATATAGTTTTTATGAATTACAAAAAAAAGGAAATAGAAATAAACCTACAGAAAAATTACCGTGTTAAAATAATAAAATTCAGATGGTTCCGGTTCCCGATCCAATCCCCAGTGAAACGGATAATAATTACCATATGGATCAACGATATAAAAATCATAAAAACTCCAACCCTCTTCCCACATTCTTTGGCGTAAGTACAAATTTTCTTCCTTAAGTCTATCCTTATAATCGTTCACCATAATATGGATGGAATCCAAATCGTTAGCCCGATCGTTGCAAAAATTAATAAAATCCATTTGAGCAGTGATCAACTCATCTCTCTTTTCAAGCAATTTCAGCAGATGTTTCGATCTCCTAGTCATTGCTTCGTTGATTATACAGACTAATACAAATGGATGGATTACCCTATCTCATCAGAATTAAGCCGAAAAAGGCGCCTAGATTAGTCATTGATCTAATAAATGAGAGAATTTTGCTCATACTGACTCTTTATTTTATATTCACTGAACTCGACTATCACTTAACATTATCTTATGTTCGTTGTTTAATGAGTCTTCATATTTTCAGGTTAGTGTTATTCGGCATATTAAATTTTCAATTATCATAATGTAGACTATACGTTATACATTAGTGTTTCATGCATATGAATCATTTTAAGGGCAACTGGTCTATGCATCTGATTTCTATGCACCGAAATACCAAATAATTTTAAAAAATCAGAAGTGCATTGTGACTGCTTAAACTGGTTTTATTGCTTACTACGTTGCTGGCACAAATATTTAAATAGATCCAGTTAGAACTCAGTATGAAAAACAAAAAAACAGAAAAAAAAGCACTGATAAAAACTAACTTATGACTTAAATTAAATATTAGACGATGCATAAAGGCGTACTTACCTCATCGCCAGCCTCTTCCCAGCTGTCGGCTACATTTTCGTTCTTGGCACCCCCCTTATGACTATCTGTCATCGCCCAAACAATCACACAAACACTGAATCGCGCCCAAGCTTGAAACTGGAAAAAAAGATCATTTAATTTCGAACAATTGCACAGTTTTCACCGAAAAACGTCTCAATGTTACCAGTAATGAGCTTGATTAAAGTTGCTTCGAACTGGAAGATATCCCTTGCTTTATATTATGCTGTATCTCTTCGCTTCTATGGAACAAGAGAAGAATCCTCTGCATTACTCTACCTTTTGTATCGGAAGCAAGCGAATGTTGTCTATAGACAACTTAGGCAGAACTACTTCAACTGAATCGGTCTATAATATAAAAGGATCAAAAATCTAACATCCGGGATTCAATTAGTCACTGCAAATACAATTCCTAAGCATATGGAAAACCCTATCAAAGACTGAAATGCAAACGACTAATCGACTTCACTAGAATGTTTCGGCACAACTGTTCACCTAATTTTCAATAAAATTAGATTCATACTCAAATCATTTTAAAGAAAGAAATTAGAGACAAACCCTACAGCTCAACTCATCCTACGCTTCACACCACTTTTATTTACGAAGTCCAATTTGCAGGTGCAAGAAAATACAAACAGGTTCCTCCCATTTTAACCATTACAGGTGGGTAAACGACCCTACTGACCAGACATATCTTCCTTAACATCGTAGTTGGAATGGGCGAATAATGTGTTATATGTTGATGAAGAGGCCCTGGACTACTTTTTACAGCGAATTTGAGAGAAAACTTCAATTTAAGAAAAATATATCGATAAATTTCTTCAACGCGTGCACAAATGCTTCGCTGAGAATTGACAGAATTTCCAGAAACACTTCAATGAAAATTTATTCATTAAAATTACATTTATGTATTGTAAATGCATTATTTTACAATGGAGACAATTTTTTGAGTGATAGCAGCACAATAGAAATATGAATACTGAAAACGGATTTTGCTATTGAAAAAAGAGGGAAAAGAAATTAAACTAAAATAAAACTTCTAAATCGGATTAATTCTGCTTAATTTCTTCCATACTATATTTCTTATTAAAGAAAAAGAAGCTGTACATACTATAATATTAAAACGCTAGTTCACATCGATATTTCCGGAAATGGACCCAAAGAAACTGAGAATCTGACTACGGTTCACTTTGAAGCAATTATTTATAGAATTCAAAATCATTTTGATCTTTCTTTATCACTGATTTGTACGCCTTGTCAAAATCTTTTGTTAGTACAACGTAACGATTTTCACGAACTGCATGCATACCAGCCTATAACAATTATTTTTAAAAAAGTTTCAAAAAAGAATTTACGAAAAGGGCAACTCGATATTACCCTATTCAAGTTTTATATAAATCTAATAACCTCCTGACATATGGCATTGATGTCTGCACCAGAAACTTTATCTGGTCTAGCAACAAAATCTTCCATATCAACCTCATCCGAAAGATTCATTTTTGCTGTAATTGTTGAGAAAATAAGACGTTTCTGCCGACGGTCCGGCATTGGAAACTCAATCTTACGATCTAAACGACCAGGACGTAGAAGTGCCGGATCCAAAGTGTCTTGACGATTTGTTGCCATGATTACCTGAATAATTTTGAAAGTATGAATCTACTTAACGTTAAATTTCGCTTGATATCAAGCTTTGACATCACGTCATGGACAATGACAATGAATATGAATATGAAAAAAAGAGGTAAAAACCTCTTTTCGTGTGCTCATAACCATTCTATAATTTCAAAAGAAAAGAGGAGAAATTGGGTCAATATGTCCCTCATCATTAAGAAGAGGAAGCAAACATATAACAGATTTCCCTACAGTACTAAAAGTTCACCTTAACATTTGTGCTCTGATCAAAACCATCCATTTGATTCAACAATTCCAGCAAAATCCGTTGTACTTCACGATCAGCACCGGTTTGTGCATCGAATCGTTTCGTTGCAATTGCATCAATTTCATCAATGAATATTATCGATGGACTATTCTCTTTAGCTAGACGGAACACGTCACGTACCATTCGTGGTCCTAGAAATATAAAGCAGCTGAGTATCAGCATAAATTATATTGATATTTATGCGAATAACTTTTGAAGCAAATGAATCCAAAACAAGGATTTCACCTTCTCCAAGATATTTTTGAACAAATTCACTTCCTACAACACGGATGAATGAAGCTGTTGTATGTGCTGCTACTGCTTTTGCAAGCATTGTTTTACCACATCCTGGTGGACCATACATAAGTACACCTCGTGGAGGATCAATACCGATCTGAAAAACAATTTTGTAAAAAATGAGATAATGAAGATTATAAATGAGTTAATGTAATTACTTTATCACACTACCATTTACTAAAGAATTAGTTTGAAGGATAGTTTATCAAAACATTTTATTAGGTTTTGTGTCCATGATTACTCGCAACGGCAGACCATATTTACCAGCAAAAAACACATGAAAAATTAACATGTGATAATTTGTGTGATTTAAATAAATGGAATAAGAGCTCTGACAAAATACACAGGTGTTTTGTAAATACATAGGTATCCACTTTCTGACATATAAAAAAGAAAGCATTTAAACAATTAAGAGTAAAGATAACGCGCAGGAATAGTTAATCGTTAGCAAAGCATTAACCATCACTACAAATAAATTCTCATGAAACTTTCAATGAGCAAGGAATTATGTGGAAAAAAACTCAGAATATGAAAATGATGAACCTGCTGATAAAGTTCGCCATGAGTAAGCGGAAGTTCTACCGCCTCCCGAACCTCCTGTTTCTGCATATCGAGACCTCCAATATCGGCGTATGAAACCTGCAAATAAATAGAATAGATATCTTACATACCAGTCCTAATAATAAAAGATTCATCATAAATAAGTTACAAGATAATAACTGCATCGTTTGATATAATTTATGATGTAGCCATCAAAATTTCTATTTATTTACTTAACAATGATCAGGCTACCGATAAACAGAAATGCTAATAAATTTTATTGATTTTTGATACAAACGTCAGGTTTTTCATCGGCACGCAGCATTTGTATTGTCGAATCTGCTTCCGGTGGCAACACATCAACAAGAGCATTGCTATATTTATGCAGTGCAACGCTACAACCGGGTTTTAGCAGTTCACGATCCAGAATAGATAACACGCGAACAAAATAATTTGATCCTAAAGAGAAGTAAAAATCTCCGTTCAAAAATTCGGTGAAAAAGGCATCCTAGCAAGTATTTCAACTGAAACTTATTACCAGTAGTTGATCCTACAATTGCATGGTCTTGATCAACGGCTTCTAAGAACTGCCCAATAACTAAAGGAACAGACTGTATTCGTTTAACCTGAAAATACTAATTTCACATATATTTAATGCATAAATTCTTACTTTTTCTTAATTTCGTCATATCTTTTCCATCACTGTTCGGTTCATGAAAACATACTTAACTCCTGATTACCTCTTCTTGCGCATGCAATAATTCCTTCTCCAAATTTCGTGTTTCTAATTTCACATATTCCTCCATAACATCTAAGTGTTCGAGTTGTTTCTCAAGCTTCTTGTACCGCATGTAATCATCTGGCTCATCCAATCCTACTGTGACACCCTCCCTTATTGCTGTCCCACATACGCTTGGCATTTCCTAGAATACAATAGCCAGCATAACATCAATTCATAACCATGACTATTTTCATGATCAATTTACAAATAGAAGCAAGATTTTGTTGAACAAACAAACATGTATTATTCATAAATATAACTGCACATACAATGAATATTAATTCTGTAGTAAAATATACATTACATCAAAAAACAATCAATTGGAATAAAATACACCTGCACATCAACGTCTACCATTGTTTCTTCTTGTCTTTAGAACGGCTCTTTTCTTCTCTGTAAAGAATACTTTCAGAACACTACGAACTATGGTTACTAAGTCAAATCGTGGTACGTTTGCACCTCAGGTATCACCAGCCGTGAACCTCCCGAACCGAACAAACCATCCAACATGTTTCCCTGCAGCAACCATTCTATCTCAACACCATATAATACACCGTACACAGGGAATCACTCCGAGACCTTAAATCACAGTGAAATCAATTGATGGAAGACTGGAAGCACAATTGCAGGAGAGAACGGGCGGACACTGTAATTGTGTTGAAGTGTGGTTCTGCTGGCTGTCGTTGACTCATTGGCTTGTGTTAGCCTAAGCTTACGACGAGATTCCAGCATATACTCGAGAATTCCAACTTGAGTGCATCTTTTGGTTGAATATCTCAACTTTGTTGAGTAAATTGCTATGACAATATTTACCTCAAATGCTGCAATTGGACATAACAATTGCTGCTGTAGTGTTTGAAGTAATTACTGATTAAATGAAGTTTACTGATAATTATTCATTAAGCGCATTTATTACTGAAATATAAACATGAGAATCAGAAGAGTGAACGTTGCATGTCACTGCATTACAGTTACTGATAATGCGAATCAGTTGATAAGAGGATATTTGCAAGACTGATAATATGAAGGAAATAAATATAATTTTAAAAAAACTAACAAAGTTATACATGAACATATGAGTTAATGTAACGGAATTATGAGATGATCAATTCTTAACAATCATCCAATGATAAATGATTATCATTCACTGCATCAGTATATCAGCATTCCATTGTCAACCCAAAAAGAAAGGGTTTTAGTGACAATTCAAAAAAAAGCGAACTGAAAATAATCCCTTTGTTCTTCTTTTCTTTTTAAATTCACGCTTTTTTAAATAGTTTTATAAAGCAAATATTACTATGCATATTACACTTGAAAACAGAAAACAAAAGAGAAAATATTCATATTGGATATGTATTGAGTTTGGTGTTAGAAATATTTTTTACTTTCAAGCTTGGACTTCTGTTTAGGGCCTACAAATGGATTTCCATATTTTTACAATCGGACTCAGACAACAGATGAAGCAATGAGTAGTGACAAAGAAATGTGTATCCTTGATTTTAGTAATTATTTCAATACATGACGAAATAGAATACAGTAAGTAGAAGAAGAAATATACGACAACAATGAAATGAACTTAAAGATATGTACAAAATAAACATATCTATTATGATTTAAGGTTTGAAGATGAATGCTAGCAGCAAGAAGTTCTTTTAATCATTCTTATTATCTTTATTTTCTTTGTCATTATTGTTGCGTTCACCACATTTCAATTTTAAAACAACTTTTTTCTTGAACGGACAATGCCTGAAAATACCAATTATGATGCTATATTGCATTTTTAAACGTCTATAACCAATGAGTAATTAAGAGAAGAAAATAATGTTTGATAACGGATAATGCTACATTAAAATGACGTTTTTTGAAGGGAAGCTATTTAAAGATTGTAATAAAATCAAGGATAATGATAACGGACAAATTAATAAGAGTATCTCTGAGAATATATAATAAATAAAATTAGAAGTGAAGATAAAATTGGAAGACAAAAATGTCGAATATTTACAAAAAGAATTATTTTTAAATAACAGTGAAATATATTTATTGCTGCGGCTCATCCACTTAGTCAATAGCGCCAAACTTATGAAGATACTCATCGATGATCTTGAGTAAACCGATGGCGATGACATTGTGTTATCTACAGGAGCATTCCTGTGACTGAGGGAGATGTCGCATACCCATTAGGTGACCAAATTATGCTAGATGAAAAAAGGGGGGACTTACTCTAATATGATGTTGTAAAACCACCAAGCGAGGGGTACCGAGCGAATTACTCGTAGTATAGGCGACTCTCTGAAATAGCAGAAGCCTCCTTACGAACAATTATTTCACTTAACATCTTATAATATAATGAAACGTTAAATAATTTTTAAAGAGAAAAAGATTTATCTATGAACTTATCTATAAAAAGGAAAATGATTACTCACATAAAAGTGTGGTTTAGACGTCCGCTTGCGTGGCATACTCTGCATGGCTTCATCCACGCTAATTTTGGGCATTCTTTTTTATCATGATCTTGAGGAAATTTATAAGTGGCAATGCAATATCGACATGATTCGCTCTGAAAACGACGAAGGGATAGTGAAAGTTAGTCTAATAAGGTGGTTAGCTGGAAATTCTTGGAATGAAAAAGCATACATTGAAGAGCTACCTACATTTACCATTTAATAAATCTGAATCACGAGACCAAATCAAATTAAAAAAACGATTCAAATACAGCAAAAAAGATGAAGTTTGGATTTCGAATTGTGACTAATCCATATTTAAATTTGAGACATCCAAGTTTGAATGTCTAGTATGCAATTGTGGCATTCATCAAAAAAAAAAGTGAAACAGAGTGTGCTTAATATTAATATTGCATGAGTTTATTCTGCCAACAGTTGGAAAGCCACCATAAATTTAATGAATCTTTTTCAGTTATTTACTGATTCCAGCAACTTTCGTTGACAATAAAATTCCACTTTCTTTTCTTTTTTTTTTTAGTAGCTGAATCTTCAGCTTAGCTTAGCAGCTGAATACAAGGTACGAGTCATTTACTCAGTGAGTTTGCTTCATTATTTCAGCACCTCAAACGTTACATCATTGTTTATTAAACGGTGGTCCGTTCCGTCTACGACATGAATTTATATTTGACAGAAATTAACAAGAATTTATGAATCACAGAACTTCATTACCGATGAGGATGGTTTAAGGTTTTGTAAATCTGATGGTAGATTGCCTGGCGGTAAGTGTGAAATAGGTGTGACGGGTGGTGTGCCAGATAGTGATGAATTTAGATTAAACTGAGCCAAATGATTTGAGGTGGAATGTTCAGAAGCAACTGGTAAGTAATTGGGAAATTGCGGAGGCGAAAATGGTGCAGAACTAAAATTATTTCCAAAATTATCATTCGGTGGTGTCATGTCTTGTAACCCCATTTGACCGACTGATGCTAGTGAGTTAGTGTCTGGCATTTCATTTTCCCCCTCCAATGGCATCCATTTTGGTTTAATCGATGGGACTGCAGATTCTACCAGGTCTATCAAATTTTGCAAAATGTGAGTTCCTGGATTGTATAGTTCCCTGAAAATTATTTTGACATAATAAGACAAAAGCAGTGTCGAGTTCACTATTTCAAGCCATTGAAGGTTGCCCTGGAATTTGAAAAAGGGAATAGAATCTATTTGACTTATACTACTATTACATCTATGACTCACGACAGACGTGATAACCAACAATTTGTGACAAATAAGCTAACCTTTCTCTTCGCTGAATATGTTCTACTGAAAAGAAATCCGCAGGTAACGAAGAGCTCATGGAGCTATCATAATTAGTGCGCCTGAAACAAAAGAATTCTTGTCTAGCCTCATAAACCGTAGAAGATAATTGGAATTCTGAAAATGTTCAATAAGTAATTAATGCCAATTTTATGATAAGTTTTCACATCTGATGTATCATTAGCATTTAGATTATAGAAAGAGTCTGATGTTTCATATCATGAACTCCTCGACAAAGCATAATTTTGCTAATGTCATTAGACGGTAGAATGATCAAATAGTAATAAAGTCTAAAAGAACTTTAATTAATGTCAAGAAAACTTCTTTAAAAAAATTAAAATACTTTACCAAAAAGATATCTCTTGCAAGTTTAAGAAAACAAGTGTGATTGATGAAAACATGAGTGCAGTAGAATAAGTCAAAATAAACTAATTAATTGAATTAGTGGAGTAAGATGGATTAAACTAAAGTGAACTAAATGAATTAATAATTCAAAATTGAAATAATGATTGAACCAAATTAAAATATTAAAATAAAACAACTTAAAACAATCTTATTTATCCAATAATTAAATTAAGAATTTTATTTCTTGACAAGCCAAACCATGACTGATAGAGCAGGCATTCTAGAGTACCATCTTCTACCAGAGGTAATGAAGAAAAATGCAACACACTCTCAATCTTCTCTCTGATAATTAATGGCGAAAGCGGTGAATCGTAGCCATTGTTAACCTGCACGAGAATTAAAATAGTAAATAGTTTAAAAACATATTTTCCTTTTTTCTGTTTTTACTGATCAATATTCGATTCGGTTGAAATTTCTGATATATTTGTGAAAGTGATACTGCAATTGAGACTGTGATAATGACAATGGAGACTGTGACAATAGTATCATCAGATAAATTAAGCATAAATATCTAAAGCAACTATGTCACGTGTTGACCAATGAAGATTAAATGAATAGATTAATTCTGAGAGATCTATTATTTCAATCAACCTGCAAGAAATACTGCATCGAATAATCTAACAGTTTTGATAAATCCTAATATTAAGAAAATCGAAGTGCAGTGAAATGAATTAGTTAGTTTAAAAATCTAAACAATGTAATTGCTAGTTTACTATAGCTAAGACTTCAAATAAAATATGGACCGGTTTGTATTCTTCATTTTCTGTGTTCCTTGCATCCTCAGGTGTTTCTTCTGGTCCACTTTGCCAACCATCAAAATTACTTTCTTGATTCTCATCATTGTCTCCCTCCAAATTATCATCTTCTTCACCTTCCTCAATACGCTTTTCTTCATTTGGAACATCCATATTGTGACCAGTAAACCAAGTCTGAAAGTATAAAACTTCATTGATGCGAGAAAAAATGAAAAGTAACAGTATGTATAAGATCGAAAGGATTATACCAAAATGGCAACATTTTGCTTATTTTCTACTTCTCTGAAACAGTATCAACCATGTCGATCGTTCAAGAAAAGCTTGTACTACTATTCATAACACTGTTTCTACCCTTTCGTCTGGCTAACGTAACTTTAGTTCTTGAATTGCATAGTAGTGCCCCGTTTTAGTATTCCTCAACGATGTATTTGGGTTGACCTTTATGATAATAATATTTTTCAAAGGCTTTGAAGAATTCAATTGCTTTTTTTCAGTGAAAAGATTGGAATATGGGATTTAGAATGAAAAGAGCGACAAATCTGGAAAATAAATAAGTAACTTGACTGTAAATAACATCTACAGAAATCAGGAATATCCTAAGGGCAACATATCGCGGTAACGACCTTGCGAACAACTATAATTCGCGTGATTCCCTTCTGAGAATAGCTCCTAAACTCTTATCCACCGGGAAATATCACCAGACATCCCGGCCATAGTCTCAACACCATTCCTTATTGCAAACATTGAGGTATATCGGGGAATAACATGCACCTCAACAATGTTGCAGTCTAATTTTCTCACGGTCTCTTATCCATCTTACCCTATCATATCTAAGTCTAACTGTATTGATTGTAATATTTAGGCAAATAAACCGCAGAAGGATGAATAATTATTTAGTATTGCTTGAAAAGGTTAGTTTCCTAATAGTTGTCATCGTTTCCTTTTTCCGTCGGCAGGTATATCCTAGAGAAACTCCGGTCGGGCGTATCCTTTGAAGTGTATCGAATCACGGGCTGGTATGTCACCAATATCCAGAAAATATTGGATAATCTGCGCTAATAACTTAACCTAATTTCACGGCCGACTTATAGAGGGCACTTATGTGGAGTCTAGGATGTCACCAGTAATGTTATTAGACGTATTTCCTTCTAACTACACGTGTCGCTCATGGGAAAGGTCATATCTACTCTACTCTGTGTCGATGTCACGGAATGATTTACTCTATATGATTCCCGACTGTTCGGTGGGATCGATCTCCTCTGTGCTATCCATTTCATTCTCTCTCTACTCTTCACCCTATTGTTTTTGCCGCCGTCAGTGACCCCGACCCTAAAAGTCGTACTTTACCAGTTCTTTTGCAAAGTTAGCTCCTCTTGCTCGATTCCATCATTCAACACTTCAAAATACTCTATCGATCCCTTTAATGTTCATATCCCCATTTCTTCATCTTAGGAAATCTCATATCTACGGACTCCAAGCAAGAATTCATTAAAATTATCAATAATATAAACTTCATGATGTTTTTCAAGGCATCATTTCATATTTATATTATTCTAAGTGACGGTCGATGTCCCCTATTTACTACTGTTAGCATACAGTGGATGAAGTTATCACGCACCAAGTAAGTACCAGTAGACAACCTATCAGAAAATTAAAGAAAAGTCTACCCTTTGCATTACTAAATATTATGATTAAAAATGAAATAACAACAATTATATTAAATAGTTCGATCCGCCAAAAATGAATACATTAAATAAAAAGTTTTGAAATTTTGAAAATTTGCATATTCCATTTTTCTAATTTTTATCAAAAAAAGACAATTGGTACCAAACGAAATTAGAAAAGTAGAATTAATAAGAAAAAGAGTCATTTAGTTAAAATAGTTTTATATGATCATGATCATTGCGGAATGGTTTGGGAGTCAAAGCAATTTATAAAGTAGAAGCTTATGAATTACCCTTTTGAAAGATGTTTCCTAACCTTCTGACTTGTTTTGATCACTCTGATCCATTCAACTGTTAAATATTCATGATATTTTCATTTTAGTAGAAAAGTAATATTAAAGTTAATAAAAAGATTCCAAAGTTAGTTGTGAAATTAAATGTTGCATAAGAATTAGGAATTATCTGCAGTACAATTCTGAAGTCACAGTGCAGGATAATTTCCCACGGAAATTATTGAAATGTTTGGAAGGCAATTCGATTTAATCCGGTTATCATCGGCTTATCTTTTACATAATATCCCTGTAAATATGCAACCTATTGTAATTACGGTACATTTTTTTTTTTTATTTGCTCGAAATTACTGCATAAGAAATTCATCTCGTTGCTATCTTTTGGAAAATTTTGACAACTGACAATGTACATTCGCTTCAAAAGGTGGCCGACATTGTCATCTGAAATTATATCGAATGAAACAATCAGTATTTGTGCTATTGATTGATTCGTCGTAGTAATTTTTACATTTGCCAAGTTGTAAATAATTGATTCGATTGCTGACCCATGCAACAATAGCTAGATGGAACATTTTTTAGCGAACTATTAAATCATGTTGAGTCTTCGTGAACTGTAAACTAGAAAAGACCCAGACAAAATGGTAACCTTTTAAATTAGAAAAGAATGCTTCTCGACTGACCCGATAATATGCTAATGTTGATAAAACTACGGTCATAAAAATTAGTGCTCTTTATCTTTCTGAAAGCATTTTATTATAATTCTAAATTTTAAATCATTTTTTGTAAAATATGATGGAAGAATCTTTTTTTTCAAAGCAATTTCAATATCTAATTTGTTGGGATAAAGGATTTTGCAGTTGACACGAATGACAGCTGCTATAGCCATGATAATGATTATGTCAATAGTTCTATGTTCGGGGAAGAAGAAAAGTTCGAAAAAACAGAAAGATTTCAATTTTGCACAAAAAACACTTATATCTAGTGAAACAAAGGAAGAAGTTTGTTTTTCATATTTATTGCTTTTTGTATTCTTTTTTCTAGCTTCTAAAAGTAATTTGTCACCTAAGAAAGTATTTGATGTGATAATTTTGAATGTTTAACATTTGCATCCCTCATTTTTGATTTTGTATTTTTTGCAGATAATTGACACACACCTTTTTTTAGCAAAATAATCCAGATTTGTCATTCCTCCCTCACATTTTGTTTCGCATTTGTCCCCTAAAATGAGATGACATTAATTAACTTAAAGATTTCATTGTATGACTTTTATTGCATTGTTATGATTCTCTTTATTTCTGCTAATTAATGCTTGGCACATAACCATATGCATTCAACTGCTGTCACATCAATTCTTATTTAATTATTAATTGGTCATTTCCTTTAGGTTAAAAAAGATACGCCCAAAAATGAATTAAAAGGGAAAGAGAATTTATTAGCTTCAAATAAGGTATGCTATTTCCTGTGCTATTTCTTAGAACACTTCAACTTCTCATATTTAAAACATTCTCTCTGTTCCGTGACCATAAGATTTGTCTCTCTATTAGTGTCTCTTTTGTGCTTTTACAATCAGAAGTGTTCACTATATCTCTTTTCATATTCCTTACTAGGTAATTCATATGTACTCAGATGTTGTTTTGCTTATTTTCTTCAACCTATTTCCATCTAATTCTTTCGTACAAAAAAAAAAAAAAAAAAGTGATAATAACAAAATTGAAAAGACAAGAAAAAGTTTCAAATCGAATTTTCATATATTTAAACGTTTCTGATTTCTTACAAGGGAAATCTAACTTCTCTCATCGTTATTAGAAGGGATTAACAACAATCATAAGTTGGAGAACATTCATGGAAGTTCATTTCAGTCATATCTTAAAGTTGCTCTGTTTTACTTTTGACATAGTTTGACTTCACCTAATTAATTTCTTAATTAATCATTGTGATCATTTGCACTATATTAATTTATAGAATTTAAAGAAAATGCATGATGATATGAAAAGAAAGAAAGCACATAATAATGCACCCTTAATTCAGGTTGGATGTTTGGATTAAACAGTATTCTATTTTTTTAAGTTTAATTGCAATTATTTGAGTGGTTTTTGGAGCTATAACTATACTTCCCGGCATTTTCGAGCTAATTTTCTTGTATTTAAGGGTTAAATAAAACAATACTTCTTACGTTTTTCAAACTTTACAAAAGTTTTAATTACCTAGTTACGTGGCATTGGCTCTCATGTTGATGGTTCCGGACAACTTGCCGATCCAGATGATAAAGAAGCATTTTATCCTCCTGTTATGGAACCCACACCATCAATAAAAAAAAAACGGGAAGAGGAGCTTGAAAAAGATAAAGAGGAGAAAATCAGGGAAGGATTCTACCAGGTAAGTTGTCATCTTAAAACATATTTATACAATGTTATGATATTTCGAGTCAACAAGAATACTTAACAGCTGATTACTTCAATCACATTGTCACTGTGTGACAATTTAGAGTGAGACAGTCACCAGTTGTTCGAGCAGAAAATCCACTGACGAAGCATTTCTGAAATTCAGAAAAAACGATATTAGCATTATTAGAGCAGTTAGCAGTTTCTGGAAAGGCTCATTTTGAGGGAAAGTTCGTAAATTGAACTAGAATGGTTGAATTTTAAATTAAATTGCAAACTCAGTTGAATTCTTTTCCAGTAAAAAAATTTATTTCAAATCGAATACTATCAACACTGATTTTTGCAGTCACGATCCGATGAAGATGATACGCTTGAACCAATTAAGAGCTTGAAAGATGAAGAGACTGATCCAGAGGATAAATCACATGCATCGAAAAAAATAAGAAAAGTGAAAAGCTCATCACATCGAGCTAGTGAAAGCAAGAAATTGAAAACTTAGATTGATAATGAAGAGCAAAATGAGAAGCAAAAGAATCTGAAAAATTAGAAATAATATAGTAAATTATAAACTAAAAAGGAATGCATATATTAGTTAATCGTATGTGTGCAGTTAATTGGAATAAAGTATATAATGAATGTGATAAAGTATAAGAGTTTTCTTTTACAACACTGATCAATGAGTAAATTTCCGACAGCAAATGTTCCGCATTTTCCGAAACTCCTCGAAGAGAATCATCTTGTTAGAATTGTAAAGTCATTGCTGTCATTTAAATTACTACTTTTAGTAAGAAACATAATCATAAAGATTTTTTAAATTAATCACTATAACATTTTGTATCTGATAAGAATGTGATAAAAGTGCGAAATTGAAATCACTCGAAAGCCTTCGATTTTTCCTGTTCCAGAATACTTGTTTTATTTGCCCATGATGACAATAATATTCGTCTCCTTTGTTAAACAAATATAAAAGAAAAATGTCTCATAGTTCTTACTTTTGTTTTTACTTCAAAAACTGATCGTTAATACTTGTTGCACCATACTGCTGCAAAAGCATTCATTTATTAATAGCTTCCTTCATATTTGGAAAAGAATAAAATAAAAACAACGATGCTTAGATCCGTTGGTAATATGCTAGTATTTCTTGATCTGAACTCAATGACACTGTCGTATACCATTATGAACAACGATGGCATCAGTAAATGTCATCATTACAGAAGACTTCAAATAAATGAGAACAATTTAGTATTGATGTTATTCAGGATGCGAAGGATGAATGAGGACACGCAATAATTGCACCATCAACGACAATGCAGAACGACACTACTTCCAAAATACCAATTCACGACGAGCCCAGATGACCTGAACTTGGACAGAGAATACTGTTACAGCTATACTAGTAGTACGATAGAGGTAAACGATCACCTTGTTAAATCACTTTTGTTCAACACTTTTGAGATTTGTTATAAATAGAAGTCACGTAAATCCCAGCACACATATAATCTACCTCAATCTTTAAAACTATGTAGCCTAAATGAAATGAACCTAGACTTGGAACCCCCATACTTTTTAAAACACCAAGACCTAAAAGGAATAACAGTACCAGACAACAATAAATTCCAGTCTTTCAAGTCCCACGATTTGCTTCTTTCATAAGTGGTTTAGTCCAGCCTGGTCCTATATGCCCCTCTCATTCATCGTTCTGTCCAACTTCCATCTATTTCTAATTAACAGAAAAACTTTGCAATAGCCAAATCAATTTTTGCTTTTTTTTAAAACAATTCCTATTCGAGCGGAGAGATCGCTTTCATTTTCAATCTCATTTATATTCCACTTATTAATTAACAACATTAACTATACGCCGTCCCAAAATATTTTCAGATACCTAATAACTAAATGCCTTATTTTTTATTGTATAAAATCCAAAAGGATAATGGCGAGGATTAGAAAATCTTCAGGACCAAAATTAAATTCAAATTAAAAATTCGAATCCAGGTCCCAAAGCATATTAAAAAATGAGTATGAAAAAAACCCTCATTCAAAACTATAATTGCATATATGTTGCAGGAGGCTTTTGGACTTTCGCGATAATAAAATTTGCAAGTTGTATCGTCTTTACATTACTTTCATTAGGAGAAACAGAACTTACTGAACGAAGGTGGCATTATACTAACAAAACAATGGTAATATAAGTACGTATAATCCTACAAAAATACGAAAATCATGCCTGAATGCCCACAAATGGGAGGAAAAAAAAAATGAAATTAACAACTGCTAATATAAAAGGAAAAAGAAAAAGGTGGCGCCAAAAAAGATAAAGATACTTATGTCATATCACAATTGCTTAATGTTCACTTCACACTTTAATTTTTTTCAGAGAAATTAATAATAAGATAGCGTTCCCTCTCCTACAAAACCCTTATGGGTTAACTAGGTGGAAAAAAAAAGTCTTACTATCAGTAGAGTTAGAACAGGATAACAAATAAATGAAATATGTACGATTTAAATCAGAAAATTCATTTAACCGCTCAAAGAAAGAAGCATTACAAAACGAAAAAATATTTGTGATGATAAAAAATGAAGTTTGGCAAAGAAAAATACAACGACAAACCCAAATAATCTGCTTAACGTCGACGACAAAAATAAACAAAAAAGTAAATTATTCAAAAAGAAAAAAGGAAAGAAATAAATAGAAGCATAGGATATTATGATAAATGTGTTTAACAGGTGAAGCGTGTACTATTCGTACCGAAGGAAAAAAATCAATGGAAAGTCAATGAGATGCACTGTTTGAATAACAATTAATAAATGAAATATGATTTAAATTAGGTATAAAAGAGTGATGCAACGAAAGTGTTTGAGAAAAATGTTAAATGTTCAAAATTATTTGAAACGATTCTTTCGTGGAAATTCAAATAAGAGAACTGCTCTCCTAACATTGTCGCTTTATTCCGTTTACTGATTTCCACCTTGTGGCTGCTGTTGTTGCCAATAACTGAAACACAGAAAAATAATGAAGGATAATAAGAAACACTTTTTAAAGACTCAACCAAGAAACTGAAACAGAAATTATGCAATCAAACAAATATATAGCCCAAAACAAGACAAATAAGATTCTATTATGACAAATAAGATTCTATTATTAAAAGAAAAGACAAATAAGACCCTATTATTAAAAGACTTCACTTCTTAAGACATGATTTCTCCATAGTTTTTGAAATACTAGAGACTATAGGATAGTCAGCCTCCTTATTTAAATCCAAAAAAAGAAGTGGAAGATGCTCAAATACATTTGTGTATCGCTTTTCATAAAAATGTATTTAATTCTTTTCTTACAATCATGTTGAAAATTCAACAACTTACAATAATAAATGCAAGTCAAAAATCAAACCTCTGCCACTGCTGCTGGACAAGCTGGGGATTGCTGTAATACTGCTGATAATAATTCCAGTACTGTTGTTGTGCTGCAGCACTACCACCCGGACCTCCTGATGCACCATTCCCATAGCCATAGGCCCCATAACCACCATAATTTGCATACGCTTGGGCTTGATTATATGCACTAGCTTGTTGATTGTGACCCTGAGGAAAAATTTTTAGAACGCCTAGACTGAAAGCATAACTTAGATATTTTAGAAAAAAGTACGGTGTTTTCCTTTTTGAAGAAAAAAAGATTTCAATTAAAGAAACCCTAAACCACATATATCTTAATTGTAACTCCTCAACTTCTTTCAACTACCTTTGGTGGTGCAAAACAGCAATACTAGTACTCTGAAGTATCACTACAATATAAACTACATTTATTAGCATTTGTCAATAAAAAGCTACTTATGAAGACAGAGAAAGTTCCACAATTTATGAAATTTGACTTACCTCAGGTGTTCTTCCCCAAGAACATTTAATATTTTGACCGCACAGTTCTTGTCCATTCATTTTGCAAATGGCGTTACAAGCAGAATCTTTTTTGTCGAAACGCACAAATGCATATCCCTGTGATTTGAAGATTCGAACTTCTAGGATGCGACCAAATTTGTCAAATGCTGCTCTCAAGTCTTCATCTAAAAAACTTATAAAAAGAATAAAAAACACTGCATAAACTTCTTTATAAAAGAATATGCCATAATAACGCACATCTTGAAAATTTCTATATATTCCTAAACTTCCTAAAGAATTAAGTAATGAAGTTGTTCCACACAACAATTATTGTTATCCTTTACCTAATTTCTAATTGTTATTACAACTGTAGGAGCACAAATACACCTCAAACGACTTAGAGCTCGAGAAATGATTGCGCTACAAATATGTTATAGCACTTTTCTGACACTAAACCATGCGATAATGCTTCATAAATGCACCAAGACGGTTCATTACAGTAGCAACACAGGTAAGCTCTTAAGAAGTGCTTTTACATCCAGCAAACTTATTTTCAAATACTTCAGTAATATCTTGAATGACCTACCATTAGCGCTCGAGTTAACATTTCCGACATAGACAGATGTGTTGTCGGGACCTGTCTGATTGTAGACATCATCGTAATTCAACTCAGAACGTCCATACTGTCCATCACCGGCACCAGTACCAGTTGGTTTACGTGTTGCCCAGTTTGTGCGAATTGTTCGCCGTCCTAACCACTGACCATTCATTTGTTCTATTGCTCGCTCCGCCTCCTAAATTTGGGATTTACGCATTATTAAAGATATATTTTTGTTTTGCTACCTCATCAAATTTGACAATCGGTAAAGAAACGTATAGCAATGTTCAGAAACTAAAAAATACAGCCATAAGAAAAAATTAAAAAGATTGAAGATTAAAAAATTTACCTCTCTCTTTGGATAGGAAACAAATCCATAGCCTTTTGACTTCAAAGTTGTTGCATCCCTAATTACTTTAGCATCCCTACAATAAGCAAAAAGGGATTTTAAAAATTGCGGAATTTAATTACAATGATTATTATTAAATACCAACAGCCTATAATTTGACTTTCCCTTGTTAAGAAAGTATCTGAACCTTATTCACTCATAAATTGAGCTGAGAAGAAAAAACTCACGAAACTTCTCCGAATGGAGCGAATGCATCTTTCAGCGCTTTATTATCAACTTCTGGTGATAAATCTCCAACAAATACATGGAAGTGTTTGCTAGTATCCACTTTGGCTTGTGATCCTGGCTCTGTAGCCCAGTTTACTTTCATTTCCTAAAATTTTTCCTCTTAAGTTATACACAGTCTAAATATTGATATATTTTACTACGATCTAAAGTGAATTACACATTTCTAATTAGTGATGACCAACTCTGTGTCCTAGCTATTATATTCTGGGCAATGAAGGCTCTTTTCCTGAAACATACAACAGCAATTTCAAATTATTGCATTTTTGACATCTTTTTTTTTCATTTTCTAAATAATTACAGAAGTTTCAACACAACAAAATATAAAGTAGAACTGCAATAATAAGAAAATTTTCTATGCCCACTTATGTTTTGTATTAAAAATAAACCTTTTCCAAAAGTACTCTTTTGTTCATTGCCTGCAAAGCTTGCGCGGCAGTGTAATGGTCGGCAAATTCCACGAAAGCATACGGATCATTAGTACCCTGTAAAACAAATGTAAAAAAAGTAATTTAGGTTATTTGGCGCTTCAAGTTACTTTGACGCTGTCACATTTCCGTCTTTTAATTTGAAGCATAAAAGTTCAAGATAACAGAATTTTGGGAGTGACTCGAAATATACGAAATCGAAGCGTCCAAAAATGAAACAGCGCCAAATGTTGTTGCACATCTGACACTCACCTGTTTTGTTTTAATTGACAACAGACCCTTCCTTACTCGCACCTACTATTACTACTACTACTAAGTACTATAATCTCTTCGTATCCTGAGGTAATTGGGATTGGGATGCTGTGCGATACCATCAGGTACTTACCTTTATATGAGATGATGCAGTCTCAAGGCTATTTGGGTTCAATGGCTTTTTTCTTTCTAATAAGTAAGATTTTTTTGTTTTAAAAATAGAATTGAAGAAAATTCGACAATAATAAAAGAAGGAAAATGAATGAATGAATTGAAAAAGAATGAAAAAACTTCAAAGATATAATGAAAATGATGAAATAATTAAATTTGAAAAAATTGGTACTTAGCCAAAGAGCGCGAAATGCCCCGGCATGTTTGTGAATTAGAGTCTGTGTATATGAGACAACTTGAGTACACTCTCCCTGTTCTCCAAATATTCACATATTCATATCATATCCACATCCTGTTTGTGAGATGTGCAATAAAGTAGTAACAGTGGTAGTTGTAGTAGCAATTAGCATCAGGTAGTCCTTACCAACAACGCCATGTGTATATCTCCCTTATTATCTGCATACATATCATATCACGTCCGATTTTTCTTTTTCTATTGAAAGGTGAAAAATTCAAAACTCTTTACAATAATGAATGTACCAGAAAGTGTATAATGAATGAGGAAAAAATGAAAAAAATTTGAATAAAAATAACAAAGAAGCGTCGCTACCCACCAAAGCGGACGTGAATGATATTGTAAACAATAACAAGTTGCAAAAAGAATGCACATATTTCTCTCAAATACCTCGAAATTTTAAACTATCACAATTCTAAAATTCTGAGCAAAAACGAAAGACGTACATCAAAGATAACTTTTGTTTTCGTTACAGCACCAATTTGCCCAAATAACGTAGTAATAAAGTCCTCAGTTATACTAGGATCCAAATTTCCAACATAACTGAAATTAAAGAAGAGCAATATGTCTCAAAACATCTTGATAGTACAGTTCAGTATGAATGGGTTTTCACATGGCAAAGTCGAAGGGAAAGAAATTTCAACTACAGTAGAAGTTAGAAGAAACATACACAGTTCTTGGTTGATGATCTTCACTACCAGTATCAAATCCAGCATTCTGCGCTGCCTGGAAATGATACCGAGCATTATACGCTCCTCCTGAACTAGCGCAACTACCACCTCCACCAGTTCCAGGACCCATAACACCTTGCATCATGCCCGTTTCATCGTGCCCATAAGGTGTGGCTACTTGTTGCCCATAACCATACGCTCCGTAGCCATACGAATTAAACTGCAAAATGAAAAACGAATTTTGAATTGATCCTATTCTGTATGATGCATTAATAACAATTAATGCCTGTGTGATTCTATATGATACATCTACAATGTGAACGACTATGGAACATCTAACGGCATAATAATAACTCATGGAAATATAGGGTGTATAAATATCAATAGTCACATGAGAAATTCTCTTAAAATTAAAACTGAAACAGAATAAAAATCTGATATGCTTCTCTTTATATTTGTACAACTTTTTGGAAGAAATCTTTGTAAACAAAAAAGGATAAGAAAAGTTAGGATAACATCTAACAGGTTAACAAGCACACATACCTCCTCCCGCACTTTTTTCGTCGCTTGAATAAGTATACAATCATCCGCGCTTCTTTTCACCATCTTACAAAAGTGTTATACTTACTATCAGTCACTATGCTATCCTCACTATTAGTCGCTCGAATATTTCCGTTACGATACCAATATACGAGTTTTTTTTTTCAAATAGTATCATCATAGAATGGGAGGTCAAAGGGGAGCACTGTTGCACACGTTAACTAAAAGAATATACATACACTGTATCCTTTCTACTGAGCATTTGCCAACCGACATTCATCCATTCTCCGCAATTTCTCAACTAGCTCTAATACTTCCTCTAGCATTAATATTCCTGCCAAACTTTATTGCTTATCTAATTTTTCTTTATTCCATCAAGCTTCAAATCATATAATGGGTGAATATTCTTCTTTCTTTTTAGTATAAAAAAGACAAAACAAAAAGGCAACTTACAGACATGACCGTATCTGTAAATAGGATCAAACTGTGCTGCAATATAACAACCAACAACTAAAAATAAACATAGAAATCAAAATGTACGCAACGCCAAACAAGAAAATCAACATAATGCGTACCAAACAGACTAAACGACTCCAACTATTTTTTTTACTCTACATTCTTTAACTGAGTGACAATTCCAGATCGTTCGATCTTGAAAATATCGAAAATAATTTTAGGAAAGAGAATGCGACATCACAGAGTTAAATATGTCTATGAGTTGCGAAGTATTACATAAGTGGCAAGAAGTTATGGGATTTTACAAAAATACCAAGGGCTCCCCCGCTCGTATCATCAAGAATCCATCCTCATTTATGCACCAAACATGCGGATTAATCGCCCTAAGGTCAAAGCATCCGGAAACAGAGACCTTGCTAGAACGCTTAATATCAAAACTACTTCCAAAAAAAACACATCCCTCCGAATGCATCCTACGCGTTGACCCCTCATCACCTTCCCATGCCTAAATGTCCCTCCTTCCTCATAGAGCGCTGATGTCATCCTTGCAACGTTGACCAACCAACTCGGATTGAAACTCGTCGTCCCATACCAATCAATTTATGCAGTTTCACACGTAACACGTACGCTGCAAATTTGAATTCATCAGATTTTGTAAGTGAGATGCATGCATAGATGAAGAAAAGAATGAGATTTCTATCCATTCAAAAAGAAGGTGTAGAGATACAGTTGATGCCTTTCTGGTGACAAACATACGAGGGAAGAGACCTGTGAGCGCGCTCATAATGACATTAATGTGTGCTGAACACGTCAAGATTCTCGCAGTTCCCACATTTCAACTTGTAACTAATCTTTTGATGAATAACTTTTTTCGGTTTAAGCATAAAAGAAGTCTCTTCAAAAGAGAGTTTATTCTATAGCGCAAGTTAAAAATATTATTCAACGATGTGTTTACGAAGTCACTCATGCAATTATATAAGTAATGATACGTCTCTTACGTGGAATACTTAGTAATGATTAAGTATGCACAGTTACTCCTTTACTACTTTTCATACTTCCAAAGAAGAGATTCTATTATTGCGAATCCTCCCCCCTGTAATGGCTTTAGTTTACGGTGGGCTTCTCGACAGCACAGCTTTTGTGTCTCCTAGACTTGTCCCTGGTGATTGTGTCTTTATAAACTTTTCTGCTTCTTCTCTCCACACCAAACTCTCGGATTATTGATGCAACATATTTCGAAATTAGAAATTTATTAACAGTTCAAATCTGAAACCATATCGCTCTTCATTCTGTGTAATGGGGAAACAATCCCGTCTTATATGGTAGGACAAGCTACGATTCTCGACTTCTGATTCTTTTTTTTTCTTATGTACGTAATAGTTTGCCAGTTGCTTAGCAAAATCAAAAGCAGATCGATATATAACACCGAAATGATCGCCCGAATGATTCTTTCAACACCAATATTGTCATATCTCCCAGCCTCATAAACCAGCAAGCATATCGTAAAACTATTATTTAAAAAGCCATCAAATTACATTTTATAATTAAATGCTCCTTCGCGTCATTTGAACCAAACGGCATACAAAATCAGAGCCATGTGAAAATCAGAAGCACGTAATCAGCAACTCCAAAAAATTCCGTTGACTAATAATGACCAACTGAACTTCATTTAATAGAAGTTTTTAAAATAATATCCTTAGCAGATTGAAAACTAACTGACATTCGGAAATTTTCCAAGCCCAAAAAATATTCCAGCAATAAAACCTTACTAGCAAAAGATCCCAATTATTCATTTCGTCTGTCATTCAATATATATGACACGTCGAAAACAAAACTTTTCATTTTATTAATGTTCCCTTTACTTTCCTAAGTGCAGAGATATTATACGCTCTGTTACTGTGAAACCCCTTACGTACTACATTTCCATAATTAGGATAACACTCTGCGATTGACTCTCTTTCGACCTGTTTAAAAATTCCTTTTTGTTTCCTTTGTCCACTTGATACTTGTGAGTGGTCGAATTAAGAATACCTCGAGATTCATGTTTCTTGAAAAAAATATATATGTATATATACCGATTGATACATAAGGAATTGTATCTCTCCTAACAGTTTAATTTCAATCGTAAGAACTAAGTAAATACTAGTAAAATGAAATCGGACAGTTTTTCTCTGCAATAAGCCAAATCAAAAGTGTTTTTTATCAGCACAGCAAATAAATAATTACACGAACGCTGAGCCAAAAATTTTCATTCTAATACCATAAAGATATGATAACGATATGATAAGAAAAATTCTTTTGAATATTCGAAATAACAGAAAGTGATAGTAGAAATACCAATAGATTATTTCGTTCAACCCGCACTACGCTGCTGCTAACCAGCTTGAAAGTGTTTGCGGTGGTGCTTTGCCCTGAAGTATTGCAGTGGAAAACACTTTTTTTTTCTTGATATAGCCACTTTCTATTGATAATATTTCAATTTATGATGATTGTAAGTGGCTGCTCCCCTTGAATACCTTCTTCGTGAGTGTGAATCTTAGCAAAGATCAGTGCGCTCAATTATAAGATACAGAAATAAAGTTCTCAAAGAGTTAAGTTTGAGTGCTTATAATTTTTCTATCATTTAGAAGCAAAATTTCGATGAAATTTTTCATAATCAAAATTCTGCATCTAATATCAAACAAAACAAAAACTTACCGAAACATCAGCTCGGCCATTTTTGGTAATAACGTTACCATCGGATTTAATCACAATAAGCATAGGAATTCCGGCAACTTCATACTTATTTTTTAGTTTTCTCAAAATAAAATAACAATAAAAGGAGTTCACTAAGAAAATTTCTTTTATATGAATTTCTGAACTGACAAGATTACTCGACAAAAAAGCTCCCGAGGCAGATAAAAGTGTCATGTAGGCTAGAGTTTGTCATTTTTTTTTAAATTAAGCAATTCTATTTTCAACCTTCTGTCACCAAGCATGGAAAAATCTTCCAAAAACAAACTCGATTTCACTGGAACCAAAAGGAACGTAATACCAATCGCCATGTGATTCTTTCACATAGTTATTCAAATCTTCCTCGGAATGGTCCAATGAGACAAATACTATTTCAAATTGGTCATCGTCTACTTCTTCATAAAATTCCTGAATATATCAACGTGGTAATTATTTTACACATAAAACTAATTTTGGAGATTGAGGTCAGTTCCACAGAAAACCGGCTAACTTATTCTCGCACAAAATAATATCAATTTTTATAATGTTTTATATTGCTACAGAAGTAATAGCCTTGTTGAACTTCACTGTCTTATTTCACGATGCTTTCTCAAACAAATGCTGCAAAATTATATCATTTTAATTCGATGAACAAATCAGGTTTTATCTTAGCTATTTATTTAACTTCCGTAATCAACTGCCACTTCAAACATACTATGGAGAAAGTGCCTTCGAAATTGATGAGATGCAAAGTGCTCTCGGAAATCAAATAATGCAAAGTGGAGATTTTTATGCTCCAGGAATTAACAAAATAATTTCCCATTTAAACCAAATGTCAAGTAAATTAAAAATCCAAAAATTTTCCAAAACAAGACTAATAGAAGTTTCAAGATGTTTGCTTTAATTAATAAAGGCTTTCTGTTTCACGATCTCTGAAGCCCTATCAATGCCAGTCTAGCGTCATTTTGAAAATCGGAAGTTTAAAAATCACTTTTAGGATCGGTGTAAATTGTCGGCACGGTGGGCACCAATGTGCTGAGAAATATAATGCCACAACTTTTTTGTTCTGAAATGATAATATTCTGAGAATAGCTCTGTGCAGCGCTATTTAAAGGAAAGGGACCCTTGCAGATAATTCGATGTTACTAACTTTCTGTTTTCGCAAACCTTATTCCCTCATTTGCATATTTCCTGAGAAATTATTTTAAAATGAAGCATTGGAAGACTTACAGCCAGTGCATCACTTCCTTTCTTTACTGTACCATCAGCTTTCTTCAAATTGATATTAGCAAGTAAATCAGCCATTTCTGAGCTTTGTAAAGGAGTTTACTGATCTAGCAAAAATTGTTGTTTCCGCTTCTGAGGATATAAGACATAAATAGATAAAATCAGGTGAAATTCTCACTTCTAAACTCTTCCTACGTTTCGTACGTCACATCCATTTCCAGTGAAAACTTATTTGATCAAACTGTTAATATCATATAGGGGAACTTTATGGCAAAATAGCCAAGTGATAATAAGATGACGAAATCCCCGTTTGTTTTGCATTTCAGTTTCCAAGAAATATTCTCAACAAAAATTTCTTAAACGATGATTCTACTTTAATTTTTGGACTTTGTTGAAGAAATCACATCTCCACCCAAGTTACCCTTTCGGTGTTACGCTTTTTACCAGTTGTCAATTAAAAACATCTGAGCAAAAGTTCATATGAATGATTCAGCATGCCAATACAGTATTCTTTACCGACTCTACTTATTTGGCAGGAATATCAGAAGTACAAGTAATCTCAAACAAGAAGATTCTGCTTAAAATTGTTGCTCGAGAGATGATAGAGAGATGAAAATCAAAAGTTCTGAAAAAAAACTATGAAATAAAACAAACACTGACTTTTCCTATCAGAACAGCAAACAGTTCAGTTATTGCTGATCATGTTGTTAACCAAATTAACTAATCATTTTGCTATTTCAAGAACCAAGAATCTATGATATGAACAACCCAGTGATCTCAAGAAGTGGAAAGTGCTACTGCTGCTGCATCATACAAGGTAGTCATAACTCAACATATTTTCACGACACAAATTAACAGCTGGAAAATGGTTTATTAAGCAACGTCGATAATATTCGTTTAAAACCCGTCTTAGTGCAACCGATCTTACCGATACGATGATGAATAAATATCAAGGTCAAGAGATGTCAGTTTAGCATACCAAGCGACAAGTTAACCAATTATTTAACTATCCGATCATCCAAGAAATCGAGCCCTAAGCATACTGCTTGCTACCTAAGAAGTAGGGAAAGGGTGGAGTTCGCTAATGTCTCAGAGATATGTCGATAAAGTTTTGTTCGAAAATCACTAAGTAGCAAGCAGACTACTGCACAAAGATGCATCGTTAAAATGCTATTCAGGAAATTTGCACGCATGAAACTATGGATGAAAAAATTAAAGATGGAAGCATCGAATAATTAACCGGAATTTCTGAGATGTTGGAATAATCACTTCCTCATAGAGAGCTGATGTCATCCTTGCAACGTTGACCAACCAACTCGGATTGAAACTCGTCGTCCCATACCAATCAATTTATGCAGTTTCACACGTAACACGTACGCTGCAAATTTGAATTCATCAGATTTTGTAAGTGAGATGCATGCATAGATGAAGAAAAGAATGAGATTTCTATCCATTCAAAAAGAAGGTGTAGAGATACAGTTGATGCCTTTCTGGTGACAAACATACGAGGGAAGAGACCTGTGAGCGCGCTCATAATGACATTAATGTGTGCTGAACACGTCAAGATTCT